GCCCTGGTAGTGCTCTGGTAGTGCCCTGGTAGTAACCTGGTAGTGCCCTGGTAGTGCTCTGGTAGTACTCTGGTAGTGCTATGGTAGTACTCTGGTAGTGCTATGGTAGTACCCTGGTAGTGCCCTGGTAGTAACCTGGTAGTGCCCTGGTAGTGCTCTGGTAGTACTCTGGTAGTGCTATGGTAGTACTCTGGTAGTGCTATGGTAGTACCCTGGTAGTGCCCTGGTAGTAACCTGGTAGTGCCCTGGTAGTGCTCTGGTAGTACTCTGGTAGTGCTCTGGTAGTATCCTGGTAGTACCCTGGTAGTACTCTGGTAGTACCCTGGTAGTACTCTGGTAGTGCCCTGGTAGTACCCTGGTAGTGCCCTGGTAGTGCTCTGGTAGTACTCTGGTAGTGCTCTGGTAGTATCCTGGTAGTGCCCTGGTAGTACTCTGGTAGTACCCTGGTAGTACTCTGGTAGTGCCCTGGTAGTACCCTGGTAGTGCTCTGGCAGTGCTCTGGTAGTACCCTGTAGAGGTAGCTCCATCTTTGCAGGTCCAATCGTAAGAGGTGACTCTACCCTGGCTTTTATCGGGGGTATCGGTGTAAAGGGAGGCCTTCATCAATCAACTTCTCAGCAGCAGTCAAACCGCGACAGGCTAGGGGGGGTTAAACCATTAGCTTAGCCTCTCCTAGCATGGTGTAGCGTAGCTTACCCCTGAGAGACAGCGGCACATGTTGGCGTAGGCCACAGAGAAGTCGGGCTCGGAGATGGCCTTCTCAAAGGTGAGGTCGATGACGCCCTTTAACCTCTCCTCAGTGTCGATGGTCAGCTCCTGCACCTGCTTCATCAGCTGCTGGAACTTCTGGGGGGTGAGTTTGTTGAGGATACTGCGGACCCTCTTGAACAGCTCCTGGGTTTTCATCTGCTCGGGGTCATTCTCCTGCGGCTGCTCGGCCTCTCGGCTCCGAGTCGTTTTCTTTACCGACGGTTTCCAAGCCTTCTCCGCCTTGTTCAGCTGCACGTCGTCGTTGAGCGACATGCTGGTGATGATCTTCCTCGGCTCCTTCCTGGGGACCTGCTGGGACCGTCGGGGCCCGCCCACCCCAAGGCCCATTCCAGGGGGCTGTAGAGAAAGACGGAGTGCATCATCAGGGTGAGGACTGAGAAACACACCATGGCCCACATTCAGGGGCCGGTGACTCACAGGTCCTCGGTTTCCTCCCCCCATTCCAGGCCTGCCAAGGTTGGCGAAGGAGGGCGTGAAGTCAGGGCCACAGTTCATCCCTGGGAGGCGGCTGGAGTCCAACTGGCGAAGAGGAGTCTTGTTGGCCTGATGAAAAAAAAACAAACAGTTTATTTCAGCTGAACAGTTTCTGTCTGTCGTCATCTCCATGGAAACCGGGGGGGTCAGCACCTTGTCCAGGACAACGTCGCTGATGGCCGGCAGACCTTCAGGCTTGTTCATGCTGGCGGAGCTGAACTGGAACTCAAGGAGGAACTGTCTGTCGTATTTCTTCTTCTCCTCTCTGTTAATTGGCTTGGACAGATCTGCAGCAGATAGAACAAGTCAGCCAATACACCCCCCATAACCCCCAACACCACCGTCACACCCACCCTCTTTGTACTGGTATTTCTTGTCGGTAGAAGCAGACTGAATGTTCTCGGCGTCCAGCTTGTCCTCTTTGTCCTCCCAGGTCAGGTCGGCCTCCTCCTGGAGCAGGGGGGCTGCAATAGGGGGCTTTGGCTCTGAGGGGGGGGCAGGCGCCGGCTCAGGCTCGGGTCGGGCAGCTACCTGCTCCTGGATGATAGCAGGAAGTAGATTTAAACTGTGAGGCATCGGCATCTGGCCGAGGTTATCAGAACGCAGAACAGAAACACGCCTACACGTGTTCTTCACACCTGGAAGCATTGAACAAGGTTCATCAAACACGCCAACATGACTTCCTGTTTAGCCTCATCTTAATCGATCGGCCAACTTTAGGCAGCCATGTTTGAAATAAACCGGCTCTGATGGACAAAAGATGAGAGACGTTTCTGGAAGGCAGGTCTCCTTAGACCGCACAGTCCTGGACGGGTCTGATTTCTCTAGACTGGATCACCCGCACTCGTAGAGTTCAGAACCGAGACCCGACCCCTTACCCACAATTACCCCCATTTATTACCCGGCCCGGACCGCACTGACCCGTGAATACTGAAGTACGACGACCTTACCCACAATTACCCACATTTAAAACCCGGCCCGGATGTTAACAGCTGTTCATTGGTTGAAGGTTCATTCCCAGATTAACAGGTTTGCCTCGTTGCTTAAATAAAATCCTGATATATGGCTATTCTTCAATCAGTTTATTTTTTAAGATGTAGAGTTAATAAGTCAGAAAATAAAAACAAGTTTAATTCATGCTGTAACCACCATACCCTAATTATCCAGCGTTTCCCTGAAGGAATAATCCCACGGGATAAGTACAGCTAACGCTACGTCTTTAACATCTTTAATTCATAAATAATGGCTTTGGGTTTTTTTCTACCCGTAGATGCGAGCTTCATACGGGCCCCCGGCCCCCTACAGGACTCCACCTGAGTTCAGGGGGAACAGACCTCTTTAAAGGCATCCAGGAGGTCTCCGACCGCCTCCTTCTTGTTCAGGTCCTTCATCTTCCTCTTCTTCTTTGGCACAGACAGAGCAGCTGCAGAGAGGAGAACATTCAGGCTTTCTGTCTGCAAACACGCGGCAGCTCTGCTTCTACAGACTGACCTTGCATAGTAGATTCTACAGGGGAGGGGGTGACGGCAGGAGGACTGGGAGCATCCTTCTCCTCCACTGTGGGAGGAGCAGGAACATGAGGAGGAGGAGGAGTAGAGGAAACCGTCTCTGTGGGAGACGGCGTCTCCTCCTTGGCGTCAGGCTGCGGAGCCTCAGGGACGTCCTTGGAGACGCCGTCCTGTGGCTCCGGCTGATCGGTTTCAGTAGCAACAGATGGTACCAGCTCAGCGGCAGTGGGCGTGGCCATAGCGGGCTGTGAGCTAGGTGGGCCGGCCTCCTCTCTCAGATCAGGCTCGGCTATCGGGCTGTCGTGGCGCTCGGCTGCGGCGGCTGCAGGGGGGCGCTGTGGGGCCTGGAGGCCGTTGGGTAAACGGAGCTCCTCGGGCTGAACGATGGGAGATTCTAGGGCGTCCTCTGACTGAGGGGGGGACCCCTCTGGGTCCAGGTCTGCCACGCCGTTTGAGCTGAGGGACAGCTCCACGGACACCACGCCTTCCTCTGGCTCCTCCCCCTCTGCTGCACAGCTGCTGGGGGGGGCCGGCTCAGGCAGTGGTGCAGGGTAGGCAGGAACCTCAGGAGCTACTGGGGGGGAGGGGCCTCTCTGAGGGGGCAGGGCATCCATCACATCACTGGGGGCTGGGTTAGAGGTGTGTGAGAGTGGAGGGGGGGCAGAGGAAGGGGCCTCCGTCAGGGGGGTGTCCACCTTGGCGAGCTCAGGGGTCAGAGAGAGCGGCGTTAGCTTCCCGCCGTCATCTGAAAGACAAAATAACGTCCGTTAACTCTGGTCAAACCCCCCCCCCCACCTCGAGACGCACGGGGCCCCCACCTGCTCCATCTAGTCCCCCCAGGGCTGCTGATGCTGAGATGTTCTCACCGTTGGCCTGAGGCGGCGCCGGGCTCTCTGGTCCAGACGTCTGAGGGAGAAAACAGGCAGATCTTCAGGTC